CATGGCCAACTCACCAGTCAACTTGCCACAGCCAACTCACTGGAGCCAATTCGCCATGGCCAACTTGCCATGGCCAGCTTGTCATGGCCAACTCACCACGGCCAACTTGGCATGGCCAACTAGCCATGGTCAGCTCACTATGGCCACTGCCAACTTGTTGTGGGATGACTCACTGTGGGGGAAGAGTTATACTAATCCCGAAGAAATGGTGGAATAAAACCATTAAAGAAGGGATGCAAAAGGAGGAGCAAAATGAAATGTAAATGACAAAAATGAAAAGATTTTATTTTTTAAAAATAATCGATTTCTTAAATTGTCCTGCGTTGAGTTGGCTGTGGCAAGTGGGCAATGACGAGTTGGCGAAGGCAAGTTGTCCCATTCAGCTCGTGGGTGTCCTTTTTCCGCTTTGTCACGGAACTAAAGCCCTCTTTGGGGCCCAGCTGCTGTTCCTCGGACTTATTTTCCTTCTCATCCTTTGAGCAGATTCATCCAGATACTCCAATGTGGTGCAAGAAGCATTAATTCCGATTATCCCAGATTACAAGTGTCAAAATGCGGACGTTTATGGAGCTGAAATCAGTGAAAATATGTTCTGTGCTGGTTACCTTGACGGCAGGTCAGATGCTTGCCAGGTAATCCTGTGGAGTTTCTGCAGAAATTAGCCGTGTGTGGAGTCTGGGCAACTCAATGGAGCTAGCAGAGTGTTTACTGGCCGGATGCCCTTCCTGTCACCAATGCGGAGTTTTGTTCGGCAGATATATTCTCATCGTGCCCAGAGAGAGAAATATTTGCCTCTACCTAGGATCGTACTCACAGCCTTCTGATAGTGAGGTGACAGCTTCACCTCTAGGCTACCGCATCCCTCCATAGTACACATATATATATAATATATATGGCTGTTGGTTATCTTGATGGCAGGTCAGACGCTTGCCAGGTAATCCTCTGGAGTTTCTGCAGGAATTAGCCGTGTGTGGATGTGACAGCATAAAATTGTGAGGCCATAGTATGCACACACACACACACACACACACACACACTTACACTTATATTCATCTTCTTTTAACAACCTCATAATCCCTTGCGGGGTAGATCTCAGCAATTGAATGGAGCTGAGTGTTTACTGGCCAGATGCCTTTCCTGTCGCCAGTGCAGAGTTATATTTGGCAGATATATTCCCAGTGTGCCCAGAGAGAGAAAAATTTCTGCCTCTACCGAGAATCAAACTCAAAACCTTCTGATTCTAAGGTGAGAGTTCCACCTCTAGGCCACCGCACCCCTCCATAGTACACACACACACACGTTTTCTTAAGTTTTTGCAGGTACTTACATGTATGGTATTCAGCTTTGTTCGGGTATTTTCCCACGTCATAGTAGTTGTGCTTTTAAAGTTGTAGCAACGTTTCGGCAGAATCTCATCTGCCATCATCAGGCTTCTGTATTGTGTTCATCTGTGAGTCAGACTTTCACTGAAACGGCTGTAAAAGTCTGACTCACAGACAAACACAATACAGAAGCCTGATGATGGCAGATGAGATTCTTCCAAAACATTGCTACAACTTTAAAAGCACAACTACAATGACGTGGGAAAATGCCCAAGTAAAGTTGGACCTTCCATTTTGAGATATGCCTTGTGATAACTTCTCAGGAAAAGCTAGAAGATCATGTCGATGTTATACAGAACTCCCTCCCTCCTTCTCCTCTTCCTCCCTCCCC